TCTCTCTCTCTCTCTCTTTGACAGCTGAAGGATCCAAAATGAACACTTATCAATCAAACAATATAAAAATTGTAATTTGGACATTTTATTTCACAACTTGCAAGAGATAATGTTGAATGTAAGAATGATATTCTGTTTGAAAGTTAAATAATAATAATTATTATTATTATTTATGACATTATTATTGTAAATCATTTTAACTTGTAATATAATTTTATATAAATAAAATATAAATTAATATTAAAAATTAGAAATAGTTGCCAAAAGTCAATATGCTGTTTAGTATGGAAGTCTGTTTCCGCCACTGAAAAAAAAAAAAAAGGTAATTGCGACTTTTTATCTCACAATTCTGACTTTTTTTCACAGATGGGAACATTAGCACAACATTCTTAGAACATATTTTTGTTATATACAGTTGTTATATACAGTGCAAAGCCAGCCATTCAGTGGAAAACACAATTCAAATATGGCATCACACATGTGTATGCACATATTTTTAAGGAAATGGGACCAGTGGAGCATGAACTGTTCATACAAGCAGCACTAGAAACAAAATGCTTTACTGATGGAGGAGACCTGGCAAATAAAGAAAGGACAGTGTTGAGGAGTTGTGTAGGAGTTTCCCAACCAAAGCTTATATCAACAGCAGGTCATCATCTAGAATTTGGACTAACTTCTAAAAGAACGTGTAAACACAGGACATGTTCTTGCGTTGCATCTGCACTATTTTTTATTTTTGTTTAATTGTCATCTTCATGCGTCATGGCTTCTGTTTTCTACTCTAGTATTTCATTTTGTGCCTTTCTAGATCAGTCTAGAAACTACAAAGGAATCCGCAGCTGAAGCAACACATGTAAATGTATTTATGTTGCAATCACTATTTTGGGAAAAAGCTATCACACATTGAAAAAAACAAACAAACAAAATAACTAAGCAGCCCTGAAACTACGTAAATGTAGGTTGAGCAGCAATACTGCATAATGTATTAAGTCTTCAGATTATTTGGCCTTACTCTGGGAGATTCTTATGGAAGCCCGTTTCTGCCACTGAAAAAAAAAAAAAAAAGGTAATTGCGACTTTTTATCTCACAATTTACTTTTTTTCTCAGAATTGCGTAATATAAACTCACAATTGTGAGTTAAAAAGTCATAATTGTGAGATATAAACTCACAATTCTGAGAACATATCAGTCCCCCCTCCCCCCAAAATTGGACTTTAACTCGTTATGTTAAAAAACAATTGCCAAGTTTATATCAAGCAATTCTGAATTTATAACTCGCAATTCTGAAAAAAAGTCAGAATTGCGAGAAAAAAAGTCAGAATTGCGAGAAAAAAAG